TCTGAAAATGAAACTACTACAAATGATGAGACCCTATTATTCTAATAAGTGAAATATAGGAAGGAAAAGCTTTACCGGAGTCAGTGGAAACAAAAATAGATTTTAAATGCATTTCAAAACTAAACTTCTTATGCTATTCTAGAACCATTTTAAAGATATGTTGCTGTATATCAACAATTGTGACAAATGCCTTATTTTAGTGAACACGTTCAACTTACTGTCATATTTAAAGGTGATATTGAGTAGTCCATTGTTCTTGGTGACTGGTGACAGGCCCTGCAGAGAAATACCAGGAGAATAACTTGAATAAAACAGGCTATCTTGAATCTATGTTGACTTTTATTTTGTAAATGGGTTTCTGGAGGTTGATGGGACTTCTGATTTTTCTTCCTCTATCTGGGCACACCATCAGTCAGTCTGAACACGGCCCACGACAGAGCAGAAAGCGCACACCTGCATGCACTCACCTGCTGTTGACTTTCCGAATGCAATACACACACAAGCAAAAATAAAGAGAAACAAAAGTCTGCATATAATATTTGCATGAAGTGAAACTGTCACCTAAGCAGTATGACTTGCTCAGGTGATGCCGAGCACAGAACCTATTTTTGAAAGAAAGTTACATGACGTTCTCAGCTTCTACCATCTAGGCTAACGGTGCCTGTACAAAAATATTCCTTTGGTCAAGGTTGAAAGACAAGTCAAATTTGCTCCTACAAGGCAAATACACTGCAAGTCAACGTCACTTGTAACTAGGCTCAAAACCACTGAACTGAAAGCTGCCAAATAAGCACAGAGAAGAGAGAATGCCAGTCTGTTTCGAAGCTGATCCTGACTGCTCAGTCGTCTTGACAGAGAGTATCAGAAATTCAAACAAAAAGAAGAAATGACACTACTAAGCACTGTGGCCAAAGCACCTTTCCTCTGTTTTCTTGGTCATTTGGGGGACAAAGATTAAAGGTGGAAAGAAAATAGTAAAAGAACTGAATAGAGAGCGCTCCTCAGCTCTTCGGGATTCCTCACGTGTTAATTAGCTCAGAACAGGTGCCTGAAGGACTCCGGTCGACTCTTCCTCCATCGGCAAACCAACCCACCGAATTTTCAGCGCACTTAGAACTCATTTACAAACACATCATCCTTTTTTCCTACGTCTAATTTCATCCAGTGCTCACAAATGCTACATAGAGGTCAAAGTTTAACCTAAGCAGAAGTACGATAAGCCAGGAAACAAAACCTATGGTCTGGCTCATCAGTGTGCTCTCTCAGGGAGGAACTGAAATACATTTGTGGGCTGCTGAGTCTGGTGTCACTTCAGTACCTGCACTAAAGAACTTTGGACTTCAGTTATTTTTCAGAAAGCATTAAACTCACTTTTAAACTACAATACAGTATATATACACACTAATATTTTACTAGACAAAGTTGAAAACACTGATTCTCATGGCAGTAAAAACATTCCCTAAACAGTAAATAACATCACATTTACCATTATCTTTTAAAAATACTAGCCATCTACATGAAATGGTATCTTTTTTTTAATCACTACACTGCAAAGAACAGAAGTTAGCAGTACACCAAAGGACCATAACAGTGATTAGACGCTGTCAAGAACATGTATAAACACGCAGCGCGTCTCACCAAATTGTAACAGTCAGACACAGGTGCCGCTTAAAGAAAAACAAGGTGTGAGTGAAGTTATCTCTAAAAGAGCGGTAAATTATTACATAAGGGATGAAAGCAAGGCAAATCTTGATAGTGTTCTTAAGGGCGAAATCTGTAATCTCATTTCCTTCTTCGGTAGCTTTTCATTCAGTTAGATTTGATTTAGTTTGGCTTTAAACAAGCTAGGTTTTACCAAAAGGCTTCCTGAAACAGGAAGGCTGCAATGTTTTTTCAGTCTTAACTTATCTGTTAATATCTGTTCTATGCTGACTCATTTTCTGTTTCTCTTAAGCTATCTAAAACCTCAGTTAACTTACTACTACAGTAAAACAAAGTCATATTATGTGTTTGATAAAATACATTAAAAATGTTCACAAAATAAGCCTACTGTCTTTTTATATTCATAAGTGAAGAGCAAAGGCAGATAAGCCGTTACGTCAATCGTTACTTGTCTTCCTTTTACAACCTAGAAATTAAGTTTTGGGAAAGTGAGACATCAAATTTCACCCAACCCCACTGAAAAATTAACACAAGTATTTTCATTCATTCAAGTGCAATTAAGACTTTTGGATCTTTTACATCCTAGATTTAAAAAAATTATATGTGTATGTATATGTATGTATAATTTATATGTATATTGTTTCTGTGTGTGTGTGCGTGTATGTATACATACATATATATATATATATATAAATGTGTTTGTGCATGTGTATATATATAAACACACGCACACACATACAGCAACACTTTCCATTGCTCCTTTTTAATTTCTTTTACTACATTTCTACTGGCGTTTTGCTGATGTCACAAAATATACTAGTAGAAGTATAAATCAATATACTGCAATCATTCATTAATAATATCGATGCAAAAAGCAAATATAAACACAAGTTAAACTCTGCTGAAACTACACAGCACATCAGACTAACTGGTTGAAAAAATTTGCTCCCAAGCATTTAAAAGGTACAAAAAGGCTACAGTAATCTGAGAGAGAAGTAGTGTCACCTTAAAACATTGAACAAAATATTAATCATATGAGTTAAAAGTTAAAGCATGTAAATTAATTAGACTATTTGATCACATTAAACTTAGGTACTAATCCTGCAAGTACTTACTCCTGTGAACTTAATAAGATACTTTTCCAGGAAACATTCCCTTGTATTTAAGCCATAAAGTACTTGTGCTATTTAATTAGCTTATAGCTAAGACAATTTGTTTAGAGCATCCTACTTTAAAACTACAAATACTAATGCTTAATGCTATGGCCCCAGGGTTCTACATTCTCAGTTAATTAACTGCTAACATTTGTTGAGTTTACACGCAGCTTTAAAATTATTCTGAACTTTGCTAGAAAGCAAGTCTCCATTGCCTGGAGCTTTGCCTGTTAAAACCCTTTCGCCCACATACTTCCACACACAGTTACTGAGAAGTAACATATAGACAAGAAAATAGCCCAAACTCTTTTTTTTTAAGAACAACTACAGCCCACAGATCTTTAAACAGATAATTAAAGTTGAAAGATGCACACAGGTTAAATTATAAACAATGTCATTCGTTAAAAAGCAGTTGGTTTCTTTTTTTCTTCTCCATAACAAGACTAAGGTCTCCCAGAACTCTGCAGATGCTGAAGATCCAAACCAAGCACCTTACATTGGGCAAAAGCAAGCCAAAAAGGCTTTTCCATCACAGATCACATATCTCTAACCACAGAGGTCAATTGTTGGGTACGTTCCTCCATCCACATCAACAGCCCGATAGTAAAGGTTACGCTCCTAAGAGATCTTAAATCAGCATAATTACGAACAAGACTAATACACATCATCTCCTGCAGAATAAGTGACTGCAGCTCATTGACATGATCAAGGCACATGCAGGCATTTCACTTTATGTAAATACCCAGTAAGCACCCACCTTTCAGATTGAAAAGGTAGGATTATCAGTGAGAGGCAGAGACTCTATTATGTAAAAATCAACCTGTATTTTTGTTTATGTTTTTTCCAGTACCTACCCTATACAAATGGTAACAACTTATTAATGAAGCGCATTTATGACAATTGTTCCTAGCTGGTATCAGGCCGGGAAGGAAGGAAGGCAGGATTCCATTTTCAGAAATAAAGCTTAAAAGGAATTTTAACCTCAGGACCTAATGTTGCTTCCAAGCTTGCCATCAGAACAGGCTATAAGTGAGTTAATACAACAGAAAGAACCATAAATTCTGGTCAATTTCTATTGTTGAACTTCTGCCTGTTCCTTTTAATCCGAAGTGTACAGTGCTTCATATTCCCACTCAAGCTGAAAGCAACATCCATTTCTTATATTTGACACTCCCTGCCAGGATCAGAGATGACACTGGTGATTTCAGAATTGCCCCCTGAATTACTGTTTTTGCAAATAGTATTAAATACACCTCAGTGTCCATCTTTTGTTGAGTAAAGACTCCATGATTTAATAAAGGCCATTTATGAATGTGAATAGCCCCTGTCAGGCAGCCACTTTCACATCAGTACTAGGAAACAGAGATATATGCTAGCACTAATTACAGAGATCTGGTAATGGAGGTAGGAAATCACTACCCCTCAAGCATAGCCTTGTGCACCAGACCAAAACAGCAATCATGATTCATCTTTCATGTGTTATTAATCAACACACATATGGTCCTAATTTCATGCTCCCATGAGGCAAACTGAAGGGACAAATTTTTTTTGACCTCAAACATCAAGACGAATAATCAATGTTTATCATACTCATTGTTCAGTAAACTAAAGGCTTTCTATGTGACATCTGCTCTTTTAATTGAAAGCTTCCTTGATGCCTTCAACCAAGTTAAAATATTTTCTATTTCTGAAGTCATCAATGGAAAAATGAATCATTTATACTACTTACATGCCTACCTTTTGGACTGCTTCCAACAGAATACATAATGTAGGGTATACAACCTGTGTCTAGTGCATTGACTGCAGATCTAAACCCTGGATGGATGGGTTTGTACTATTATTGTTATACCCTTGGTGTAGCTGACAATGCCAACTATAAGTTTTGTTGATGTTTGCCAATATATTTCTGTTCCTGCACTGCATGCACATATTATGGGGATAAAATTTAAAAAAACATCTCGGACTGTGGAGAAGTAAGTTGTGTTGTTAAAAGTCAATTCAAGGAGCAATAGGCTTCTCAGTGCCTATTTCATATTCGAAATACAAAATTTTCATTTTAACTTCTTTTAATAAGTTGATATCTTTTGTGTTCCTTCTTGTAAATTACTATGTTGTTTGCATAAAAAATAGAAGATTTGGTTTGGTTCTTTGTTGTTAGTTATTTATTGTTTCACTGCCTCATCTTTAGAGCCTCTGTATATAAGTTCAGCTGCAGAGGAGTCAACTAAATGTATCCCTGTAGCCTCTGAAAGTTGAATTTGGCCTGGGATATGAAAGGTAAAGCATTTTTTTACTTCATTGGGAACTCCATTGTGAGGGAGAGAAGCTTGTTCTTAAGCATAAAGAAACTTTAGAAATCAAACACAGCCTTCCTCGCAGTAAACGCAGTTCAGAGACTCTAAATTCTGGCACTATAAGCTCCACACCTCCTTCCCACAGCTCCAGCTTCAAGAATGGTGA